CTCCCCACTCCTCTCGGGTAGTAGTGCGCAGCCTTTCGGGCGCAGTTGGCCCGGCGCGACGTTTGAATATTTGATTTGGGGCATGGCTCGTTATTTTATTAGCGTGTCATTTCATGCAAGTCACAAGGGCAATGAGGGCCATGAGGAGAATGTCAAATTTCTCGAGGCCCACGAGGGTCACGAAGAGAAAGTCAAGGTTCATGAGGGTCACGAAGGGCAACGAGGGCAACGAGGACCAAGAGGGCAACAAAGACCACGAGGGAAGCGAGTGGAAAGTCAGATTTCATGTGGGTCACAAGGGTAATTAGGGCCACGAGGAGAATGTTGAAATTCTCGAGGCGCACGAGGGTGATAAGGGCAACGAGGACAACAAGGACCACGAGGGCAGCGAGGGGAAAGTCAGATTTCATGTGGGTTACGAAGGGTAAGGGGGGTCACGAGGAGAATGTCGAAACTCTCGGGGCCCACGAGGGCGACGAGGGTCCCGAGGGTGATAAGGGCAACGAGGGCAACGAGGGGAAATTCAGATTTTATGTGGGTCACCAGGGTAATCAGGGCCACGAGGAAAATGTGCAAATTCTCGAGGCCCACGAGGGCAAAAAGGGAATCGAGGGTCACAAGGGCAACGAGGGCCACGGGGTAACAAGATTTCACGTGGGTCACAAGGGTAATGAGGGCCATGAAGAGAGTCTCCAAGTCCACGAGGGTCACTATCAATGAATAATTAATCGATGTAGATTAAAAATAAGACTGCAATTTTACCTTAAAAAAAAATGGGGAAAAAAATAATGAGTGGGAATCGAACGTGGATCCCCAGCGTTGTAGCTGCGGTACGTAACCACTGCACCACTGCGCTATTGTGATATTATGAGTTTTCCAAAATGGTCAACATTCAGAAACGTCACAATTTCCTATTTTGTTATGAATAAACAAAATCAATCGGATTTTAAATGGTTGATGTTTCTTAGGGAAACGCCCTGTAACTGCAATTAATATTAAATCGTTTTAGACATTCGGAGTGGCTATTTACCCCGAATTTGTTCTATTGCGATTCGTAATTAATCATGTTATTAATATACTGTTAGGGTTATTTTATTAATATAATGTTTCGTAATTGAAACTTTATGTTCAAACGGTTTAATGAACTCTCTT